TACTGACTGTTTAATGAGAAACTATTGGTTCTGTAAACCTTCACCTAAAGTACAATAAAAAAAATTAAAAAAGAGAGAGAGAAAGTATATGTGGGGAAATATATGAAGAAAAAAAGGAGAAAAAATTATATCCCAACTGTCTATGGCCTTCAGTATGGATTATACCTCAACATAAAAGAAAGCAAGAATCCTCACAACTGAACCAATAAGTAACATCACAATAAAGGGAAAAAATATTGAAGTTGTCAAGGATTTCATTTTACTTGGATCAACAATCATCGTTCATGGAAGCAGCAGTCAAGAAATCAAACAACGTATTGCATTGGGCAAATCTGCTGCAAAAGACTTCTTTAAAATCCTAAAAAGCAAAGTTGCCACTTCGATGACTAAGGTGTGCCTGATCCAAGCCATGGTATTTTTAATTGCCTCATATGCATATGAAAGCTGGACAATGAAAAAAGAAGACCAAAGAAGAATTGATGCATCTGACTTATGGTATTGGCAAAGAATATTGAACATACAGTGGACTGCCAGAAGAATGAACAAATCTGTTTTGGAAGAAGAACAGCTAGAATGCTCCTTAGAAGCATGTTATCAGGAGGGACCATCCCTGGAGAAGGACATCCCACTTGATAAGGTAAAGGGTCAGCAAAAAAGAGAAAGACCCTCAAGGAGATGGATTGACACAGCGGCTGCAACTATGGGCTCACACATACCTACTATTGTGAGGATGGCGCAGGACCAGGCAATGTTTAATTCTGTTATACACAGGGCCACTGGAGTCAGAGCCAACTCAATGGCACCTAACAACTATGACAACATATGAGTTCTGTTGGAGGATGGAAACAGATCACAGAAAGAAGGGAACTGATTAATATTCACTGAGGCTGCCATTGCTTAGGCAGTGCACTGGACACTCTATACACAAGATCTCATGTAACTCTCACAAAAACCTTATGGGATAGGTATGACTTTTCTCCACTTTACAACTGAAGGACTGAGGTTCAGAGAGCCCAAGGGTCTTGCTTTAATCACAGACTAAGTTATCTTGCTGAGATGAGAATCCATGTCTAATTCCATGCTAATTTTCCCCACACCCAACAGCAAAGAGTGTGGGTCTTTAATTATTAGTTACTTAACTTAATATATAATGTATCTAATTGAAATTGTTTTGAGTTTAGGGATTTGTGGAGTCCTTGGTTGGTGCTAACAGTTAACACAGTCGGCGGGTAACTGAAAGGTTGGAGGTTCAAGTCTACCCAGAGATGCCTTGGAAGAAAAGTCCTGGCGATCTACTTCAGAAAAATCAGCCATTGGAAACCCTATGGAGCACAGTTCTACTCTGACACCCATGGGGTCTCCATGAGTCAGAATCAACTCCACGGCAACTGGTTGGTTAGGATTTATCCAGGGGTAGCCCTCTGAGTCCTTTGGACTACCAATATGTAGGCTGCACCCTGTGGGGATAATATGTTAATCTGTCAGAGTCCGCTGGGAAGTCATATTGGTTGGGATAGCCTCAGTCTCGGACAGGGCACTGAGGAGCCCTACTGGGGAGACAGAATTGGAGGTGCATCTAGGACACTGGCATCAGAAGAAGTGCAGGTGGAGTTCCCATATTCAGGTAGGCACGGGCATAGGGAAATCGCCCATCTGAGCTGAGCTTGGTCAGTGAGCATGTGTCCACACCAAGAGAGTTGAGAAGGAATATGACATCATGGTAGCCTCATGTCCGAGGCCCTGATGTCCCAGTTGGGAGGTTATATACACGGGATCACACAGGGCTGCCAGTGGGCCCTGGAAGCCAATGACCTGGAAAAGTCCCTGAAAACTTCCCAACTGGATGCAGTGATGCTGAGTAAGACCAGACTTGGTAGTAGCCTCAAGCTGCAGTGTTGGCACCAAATTCTGGAGACAAGTTCAAGATGGCAACACCTAAGAGCTAACTGATGACAGTGGGTTTCGGGGGAGATAGAAAGGCAGCTCTGGAGTGAGCTGGCAAGGAGCTGCCTGTGTATGCCTGGTCTAGGACAGTGCTAGTTGCCTGTGAGAACTTCAGGATGAGGCAGGCTGGGGATGGTGTTGGGGGGCTGAAGACTGAGGAGTGAGGAAGGTACAGAGCCTCAGAGGGGGCTCATCGGTAAGAAGGGGCTGAGGGCAGGGCCCTGAATAGGGAGGTTTTGTTCAGTGTCTTGGGCCAGGAGACTGCAGACGGGAGGTAAGGTGGCTTTGTTGTGGAGGAGGCCTCCAGTCACTCAGTAGGGAGGCACAGCAGGGGCGACCCAACCCCCAGGCTCTGTGGTCAGGTGGCATCAGGGCCTGGCTGTGGAGGAGTGGTGGCCACGGACAGTGCTGACCACAGTCCCAGCAGAGTGAAAGGCAATAAAATAGGCCTCTAAAACTACCTAAAATTTACACTGCCGCCCACCCTTCCTGATACCCACACCAGTGAGGAAGACTAGAAACCCAGACTTAGAGAAGAGTGGCCCAAAAGATGTCTTTCCCCCATTGAGGTGGGACCCAGATTCTTTTCGTTGGAACTCAAATACCAAAGCCAGAGAGGAGATGCCCCTCACTGCCCTTCTCAGACTCCCAGTCCTCATTTCATAAGCTTTGGGCTTTCAAGTTAGTCTTGTTCTGGTTTTTAATTGCTTGTATATGTTGACTTTTTTTTCCTATTAAGCCTGTAAATTCCTTGAAGGTGGAGCTTGTTCTGGGATACTCTTGTACTCCCCAAACTCAAGGAATATTTAGTAAATTGTATTTGCTATCCAGAGAACTAACTGATGGGTAATCAGTATACCAGCTGGGAGAGCTAGTCCTGATCTCCCTTTTTATTTTTTAAATTTATTATAGAATAAGATATGCTCATTAAGAGTGATTTGAGAATATAAAATGATAGAAGACAAAAAAATCCCTCAAAGTCTTCCAAACAAAAGATTGCTTTCCAAAGACTGAAACCACATTACACTTTGCTATACCTTAACAGGGCTGTGAGTGCTGCACAGGGCAGTTTGGGAGAAGACCCAATGCTTCTCCATGTTGATTCTCCAAAGGGCAGGATCTGCCCAGTTTCTTTGGATCCCTAACACCTGATTGGACTTACTTCTCTGGAACTTATTTGTAAGATCATCCTGAACCATCTCAACATCTACTGCTTCTTCTGGTCTTTCTCTAGGACTTGTGCTATAGCAGGCTGGAGGGAGCAGACCCATGTTCACCCTGGCCGTGGTCCCCTCTCCATGGGACACAGACCTGCCCTCAGAGAGCAGTTCTCCTGTACTACTGTCTTCCCTGGACCTCCCCCACATCTCTTGGGTCCTTTTGGTAAGCAGATTTGCAGGCAACGCTTCAGGGTCCCATAAACTTGAATGTAAGGGTCAGAGGCCCTGTGCTGTGCCTCTCTGAGACAAGGCTCTGCAGGGGACAGCCCCAGAGCAAGTATATTTACACAGTTGTCCCTTTTTGGAGGGGAGGCCCTGATGTATATCAAGACCCTTAAAGGCAACCCGAGAATCTGTTCAAATCAGTGAATATGATGCACGCCACGAGCACACCATTACATGAAGTGTAGAACCTGAAGTGTGTTACAGTAAACTTGATGCCTGGGGTTGTCCTATGTCATACGTCTATCAGCAATTACTCAGGTTGAAAACTGCCAGAGTATTTCATACATTCTCAGGATTTATAGTGAGCAGCTCTGGTAAAAAACAATAATAGTAGTAGTAGTAGTAGCACATTAATTTTCCAAATGAAGTTATAGATTCACATTATAGGGCTTGATCAGAGATGACCATTTCCTACCTCTCATGTGGAATCTAAATGTCAGTAAGCTCACAATCATGTCCTCTCCCCGACCCAAAGCCCTTGGAAGGAAAATGTCAATCTTATGCTAAAAACGACTTGGTCGTTCAGCAGAAATAAATTGCACAAGGTTAATTGTTAATCTAAGGCTTATCTCCTGGCAGCTGTATGTCAAGAACAGGACCACTTAGGAAAATAAAAGGATACTTGGTCCTGCTTTCTCAAGGTTCTATCAAGGGGAACCTTACCTCAGTTTTTCATAGGATCAGTCTAGACTCTGACTGTGTTTTCATGGTGAAAATTTGGGGGAAACCCTCAAATCACTTCATCATATAGGAAGCCAACATCTAACTACGGGAAGACAACTACCCCTCTTTTAAATCCAAGTATCACTCACTGCTCCCACCTATGGAGATCATTGCTGCTGAGACAACTGCTGGTTTGCTGGATCCTTGAACACTCTATTGTCCTTAATGAAACTGAGAGTAACAAAGTCTCACTGGTTTATAAATAATTACTACCAATAAATTTTGTTCTACTGTGATACAAACAAGGTCTCACGGTATTTACTAGTTTTTAAAAAATATCAGAGTATACAAAAAAAAAAAAAAGAGTAGCTGCTGAGGCTGCCTATGTACAACCAAACACCGCAAGAGATTTGGTTCCTTGGTTTGGAGGTTTAGGGTCATGGTTTCATGGGACATCCCAGTTAATTGGCCTAATAGTGTGTTCGGTGCTTCTGTTCTACCTCCTAGTTCGTTGCGTAGCTGGGGTCTTAAAAGCTTACAAGTGGCCATCGAAGGCACAAAAATTGGTCTCTACTTGCCTGGAGTAATAGAGGAAGAAGGAGAATCAGGAATAGGAGGAGGTTATGGAATGTGTGGCTGATTGCCTCTCTGAACAACTGCCTCCTTGGCCATAAGACCAGAAGATGGTTCCTGGCTGCCATTACTGAACACGATGATCAAAGATTCTATAGAAGAATCCTGATCAAAAGGGGGAAAATGTGGAACATAATTTAAAATTATCATGGAATCCAGATTTTCTGGAGCCATGAGGCTGGATGAACCCCTAAAACGATTGCCCTAAAATAATCTTTAAACCTTAAACTAAAAATATCCCCTGAAGTCTTCCTAAAACCAAACAATAGTTTAGCTTAACTAGTAAAAAATGTCTGCCTTGAGTATTATGTTCTTTTAAGATCTATGCATATGGGATTAAATTGACAACAACTTATAGGAACCTCAGGGGGCAGTGAGCTTATGTTAATGGGGGAGGAACAATTCAGAAAAAGAGGGTGAGAATGGTTACACAACTTGAAGAATGTAATCAGTGTCGCTAAATTGTACATGGAGAAACTTGAATTGGTGTATTTTTTGCTGTGTATATTCTTAACAAAAAATAAATTAAAAAAAATATACCAGGGTGTTAGAATGCCAGAGTTGAGAGGGATGGATGTGGAGGGTTGGTCATCTGGCCCCCACTTGGTCCCTGCTGCCCCCTTCTCAGGAAAGTCAAAATCCCAGGCTCAAACACATACTGCGCAAATGAAGCAAGTGTCATGCCAGGTATGTCCCAGGGCTTCGATAAACTTGTCACCAGCCTCCACGGGGAAATCACAGCCGTGACACTTGGTGCTGAACAGATTGATGTAGTCTGAAATGAAAGGAAGAATGAGGACCAGCCGTCCAGGCAGGCGGACGAAGTGTCCCAGCTTCATCTCCTTAATGCCAGGACAACCCCCCAAATCAGACTGGCCGTTTGTCATCTTGTAGACAAAACACTTGGGTGAATTACAGAATTTTTTTTTCCAACAATTTGCACTGATGTTGTGCAGACTCAGGCTTAGTCACCACCTTGTGCTGGCTTGATTTACAAACACTCTCTGGAATTGTCATTAACTTTCTGCAGGGTGGTGTTTTTCTGCTGTTTCCACCACATCTTATAGCCCAAACAGACCAAAAAAAAAAAAAAAAAAAAAAAGACACATTTCCAAACACCTGTGCTTCTTTTAGAAGAATGAGGGCCCTTAACATTTTTAGAGTTACAGAATACTCCTTGCTTGGCCATTCTCCTGTCCCTGGGCATTTGTGTTGATACTAAATTCTCACTACTATGAACAATACCTGAGCTACTTTACTGGAACATGCCCTCCCCCACCCCACCGTGGAGGTAATAATATGACATATTATTTGTATAATGCTTTACAGTTTACCAATCATTTTCACATAGATGGCATTATTTACAAGTAGCTCAATGTCAAGGACTATGTCTTAGTTTTCTTTATATTCCCAGCACAATGCCTAGCACGCAATCAGTACCCAACACAGATGTATACGATGAATGAGTGAATGGATCAATCAGTTGATCAGTAAATCTGTGAATGAGCTTCACACAGTTCCCCCAGGTATGAACTATTCATCTTCTGTTTTCTTCTTTTGGCAGATGAGAAAACTGAGGCTAAACGAGGTGAAGGGACCGCCAGAGTCACCCAGCTGAGACTCAGAGGTCAAGGCCTGGGCTCCTCCCCATGGGACTGTCCTCTCTCAGTCACAGGGGCAGCAGTTCTACCACACTTACTGCCGCATTCTTCTAGATTTCCTTAGAAAAGCTGGTCCCCTTTATGAGGACTTCCTTCCCCAGCAGTGGTACGTGTCTCTCCACAACTCTGCCATAGTTGGTTTTTTTCACAGTGATTTCTTGTTTGAGTCTCCTCATGGACAGTATGACTGCTCAATGTCTAGACCGTGTGCGGAGAAGCAGCGTGCCTGCCGTGGTGGTTAGAAATCTGGGCTCTGAAGAAAGAAAGAACTGGGCTAAATCCCAGTTCTATGAGGAATTGTCCAGACCTTGGGTATGTTGCTGAACTTCTCAGTGCATCAATTTTCTCATCTGTATAATGGGAAGGATTATAGTACCTGACTCATGGGGTCGTTGTAAGATTAAATGAGATAATGTACGTGAAGTACTTAGTATGCTCAGAAACATTGGCTCTTATTTTGAATGTCATTATACATGATAAAAAGAGGGAAGGGGACTATGAGCTGAGCGCCTACTATGTACCAGTCCAATCTTAGTGCTTTTTCTGTATTATCTTGTTTAATCCTGACAGCAGCTCCATGTTCTGCTTCCTTTAGAAAGTTACCGCAGGTTTACGGCTCACCCTGCTCTGTAGGAACTTCCAGTGTGTGAGTGAGCAGCGTGGCTATGGGCTAACCCTTCTCCCCGTGAGGGCAAGCCCCACACCTCACTTCTGACTTAGCTTCCATCACTCTCAGTTCCCCAGATGCCCTGGACTCTCCCGTACAGCTCCGTGCCTCTGTGTAAACCAGGCCCTGTACTTAGAAAGCCCTTCCCGCTTTCGCTACTTGAATCTTGGCAATCCTTTGGGCCAGGCCTTCTTTCTGGGAAGTCCTCACCTCCCAGCCTCCACCAAGAGAGATGAGATGGCCTTCCTGAAGGCTTCCCTGGGCTTCCCTCCCTCCCCATTCATTCATCCATTCAACATTTCCTGACAGTCCATTTACATGTCAGCATATCACAGGAGGATGGGTTTGCCCGAGGTTTTGGAGGCTTCTGTCATGCTCACCTCCACCCTCAGCACCTTGCACAGAGACTAGCACATAATACGTGCTCAACACAAATTCGGTGGATAAATGATAGATGGACAAATGAACTTGTTCAAACAACCTAGTGATTCCTTCTCCTATTGTGTAGCCTATTTTTTCGCAGCTTAAGCTCTTACAATGGCTTGAACCTATTTTTAGAATGTCTAGTCTCATCCACTGATTGTTTTTTCTGTTTTAAACTTAATTCTGTGTGGATCTGGAGAATTGCCACTTTGTCTTAAAATTTGGTAACACAGGTCTGACCCTAGTACCTGAAAAGAAAAAAACTAGTAGTGTTCTTCATTTATCCTATAAAGGAAGAATGTAACTCGTATTGAACTAAGTCTGTGCATGGGCCTTTCTCATAATCTAGCTCCTCATTTATTTATTTCTTCCTTTATTTCTCCCATTTCCAAAAAATAAAAATAAAAAAATAACGAAATCCATTGCCATCGAGTCAATTCTGACTCATAGTGACCCTATAGGACAGAGGAGAGCTGCCCCATAGGGTTTCCAAGGCTGTAAATCTTTGCCATGGAAGCAGACAGCCACATCTTTCTCCCATGGAGTGGCTGGGGGGTTCAAACTGCTGACTTTTTGGTTAGCAGCTGAGCAGTTCAACCACTGTGCCACCAGAGTGCCTATATTTCTCCCATTAGGTTTTTATAATTTTCTTTGACTAACTTTCCTATGCCCTGACTTGAATTAATATTCTTGCATTTAATGGATTTTACTGCAACTAGAAAAGGATTCTTATCCATCAAATTTATGGATGCTCTGTGTTGAAAAAGGGCTTAGTGCTTTTCTGGAGCAGTTGCTCTTAAACATTAGAATCACCTGGAGGGCTTGTTAAAACACAGATTGCCAGGCCCAATTCCCAGAGTATCTGATTCAGTAGAGCTGGGGTAGGGCCTGAGAAGTGCATTTCTAACCAGTTTCCAGGTGATGCTGATACTGCTCATTCTGGGACTGCACTTTGAGAAAAACTGCTGAGTCCCAAACCTAACTAAATACCACGATCACCTGGGTGGGTGATTCTGCTTCTGTAGGTCTGGGATAGGCCTGGGAATTTACCTTCTTTATATTCTTTAAAACGTCCAGTGATTATGGGAGGTGACTGTGATGCCCAGCTAGGCTTGGGAACTGCTGAAGTGCTGGCACACCTGGCAGGGGCAGGCTCTCCCGTTTCCCTTACTTGTATGCAGGGTATCATATGTGCAAGTGTCAGCTCATCCTTGCCGCCTGTTGAAGGCTTTCTGAGTCTAGATCCTACCATTCCTCCAAGGCTGGCTCACTCTGCAGCTTTGACAAGCCTCCCTTCTGTATCTTTTTTCAAGCTGATGACAAGGTCAGAGCCAAGCACAGTGCCCATGGTATGACACTGGGGATCTCCCTCCAGGCTGATTCCAATATAGTTGATCAATTCTAGGGCGTGTTAGCCCACCAGGCTTGACTTTACCTAACTGTTGGATCACCCAGCCCTCCTTTTTTCACTTTGTTCACAAGAATATCATTCTTTACTACATTCAACAATCATGTTAAAATTCCTAGTGCTCTTTCTAAAATAAAATTTGGATTTTGTTACTTCCTTGCTTAAAATATTTCAATGACTCCTATTGCTTCAGGAAATGGTTTTTAAACTGAGCTCCACGGAGAGCTATGGACTTCCTGGAACCATTTTAGGGACCACTCATATTTATTGTCCACTTGCCGAGAAAACCCTATGGCGCAGTTCTACTCTGTGACACATGGGCTCACCATACGTTGGGGGCTGACCCTACAGCAGCTCACAACAGCAGCAAATGCCACAGGCAGGTGCTTTGCTAAGAGCTTTGCATACAGCATCTCGGTCAAGCCCCACAACAGTCCTCTGAAGGAGGTTATATACATGGGGAAACAGAGACTCAGAAGGGGTAAGTGCCTTGTCAATGGCCACACAGCCTGGAAGTGCGGCCCATACAGATTCAGGTCCCGGTCTCTCAAAGGCAACCAGGTCTGAGGCTAAATCTTTTCCCTTGCTGTCTTCTCTCAATGCTAGGCCATCCTCCAAGTGTATCTGTGCCCTTCCTGAGTCCTCTTACTCAAAACATCATTTTTTTCCCCTTTTATTTATTTTTGATCATTGCCACTCTAATGGGGGTGAGGTCGTATCTCATTGTGGGTTTTTTTTTTTTTTAAATTGTGCTTTAGATGAAGGTTTACAGAGCAAATAAGTTTCTCAATAAACAATACACATACTGTTTTGTGACTTTGGTTGCCAACCCCGCAACGTGTCAACACTCTCCCCTTCTTGACCTTGGCTTCCCCATTATCCGCTTTCCTGTCCCCTCCTATCTTCTCATCCTTGCCCCTGGGCTGGTGTGCCCATTTAGTCTCATTTTGTTTTATGGGCCTGTCTAATCTTTGGTTGAAGGGTGAAGTTCCGGAGTGACTTCAGTACTGAGCTAAAAGGTGTCTGGGAGCCATACTCTTGGGGTTTCTCCAGTCTCTGTTCAGGCCAGTAAGTCTGGTCTTTTTTTGTGAGTTAGAATTTTGTTCTGCGTTTTTCTCCAGCTCTGTCCGGGACCCTGTATTGTGATCCCTGTCAGAGCAGTCAGTGGTGGTAGCCAGGCACCATCCAGTTGTTCTGGACTCAGTCTGGTGGAGGCTGTGGTAGTTGTGGTCCATTAGTCCTTTAGACTAATCTTCCTTTACATCTTTGGTTTTCTTCATTCTGCTTTGCTCCAGACAGGGTGGGACCAGTGGAGTATCTTAGATGGCCGCTCACAAGGTTTTAAGACCCCAGACACTACCCACCAAAGTAGGATGTAGAACGTTTTCTTTATAAACTATTTTATGCCAATTGAGCTAGATGACCCCTGAGATCATGGTCCCCAGCCCTCACCCCAGTAATTCGGTCCCTTGAGGAGTTTGGATGTGTCTAGGAAGCTTCCATGACCTTGCCTTGTTCAAGCTGTGCTGACTTCCCCAGTATTATGTACTGTCTTACCCTTCACCAAAGTTACCACTTATCTATTGTCTAGTTAGTGTCAAAACATCATTTTTGAAAACCTTTTTTGGGGGGTTGCTGTGGAGAGGAGCAGTGGTGATAATAGAACTCTATCATTTTGCAAGTCTCAGACACAAATTGTGGCTTATTACAAATTATGAAAGTCACAATGCTTTTAGTTGATTGGCCTAACAGCCTTATGGAGTCCCTGAGTCGTGCAGATGGTTAAGTGCTTGACTACTAACTGAAAGGTTGGCAGTTCACACCTACCCGGATGTGCCCTTGAAAAACCCTGTGAAGCAGTTCTACTCTGCACACATAGGGTTGTCGTGAGTTGACAAGTAACAACAACAAACAGCACTTACATTAATCACCAGCCATCACCATGTGCTCATAAGGAGGGAAAGACAGCTGTTAGCTTTTTCCTCTTACAGATATGGAAACTAAGGCAGAGTGATTAACTGAGCTGGAAAGAAAAGTCACCAGCATATAAGACCCCAAGAAGTTTCTTTTATAATTTACGGTATTATATGTTTATAATATTTTTTTTTTCCCTTGAGGAACTAGAATGCTTTCTCCTTTCTGATTTTAAAGTAAACTAACTTTCTGTGTTTCTCTTTTTGCCCTGGCTGCCAGGAAGTTTGCAGTCAAATTTGCTACCCAGCTGCTGCAAGTCCATTATTTTTTATAATCGGCCTTTCCCTCTTCTACTTGGTGCTGATTCTCTAGTTCTGTTGTTTTAATCTTGGTGTCTATATTACCTTTGTTGGAACCTGCCTCAAATCCGTTTCAAAAGAGACAGGCTATGGATAAACGAGTGAGTGAGTGGCTAGTTAGCTGAAAATCCCAGCTGTCTAATGGAGGGCTTTGTCTCCTGAATTTGGGATAACTCACTCCAAATTTTACGATAACATATAGCATTTTAGGTTACAGAATAATTCTGCATTCAGACCGGGAGATTACAGGAATCTGAAGGAACATAATGGCCTGGTAAACACCATCACAGCAGGGGAGGGAAGTCTCACTTATTCACTGTGCTTTACACCCCTTCTCTGGTCTAAGCCTCACCACTCCGTCTAAGGCAGGTATGATTTTTCCCATTCTACAGATGAGGAAAGTGAGGCTCAGAGCAGTTCAATAACTCACTCAGGGATTCAAAGCCGGCCCAGGACTAGAACCCAGGGCAAAGTGCAGAGCTGAGGCTTGTGCGCACCAGACCTTGCAGTCTCCAAATCAGCATAACCTGAAGAGCTCCCAAAGTGGCTATAAGGTGCCAACTTTTGATCCACATTTTTGATGCAGGGAAGGGAGCAGAGCCTGACTGTGTAAAAATAAGTTATGGACCCCGTCTTATGAAAGGAGGCCAAATGGGAAGGGGGAGTCCTCAGACTAACTTCCTTTGTGTAATATTAGCATGATTCTGCCATTAAAAAAAAAGTCCCATCTCCCAGAAATGGAGCCTCCTGATGCTCCAGTGTGAATGGAGACAGGCAGGAGTCCCAGACCCCAGGCTGCTGGCCCCTTCATCGCAGTGGCCCTACCTTTCTCGCAGTAGGGCTCCCCATCTTCCATGTGGAAGAGGCTGTTCCCGAAGGGCTTCTTACAGGCTGCACAGACGAAGCAGGTGGTGTGCCAGGTCTGCCTCAGGGCATGCATTACCTCCTGTGGGGAAAAGCCTCAGCTCAGGACAGAAAGGTCCTGGGAGACAGGGAGCTGGGTTTAATGGCCCGCCCGGCCTCGGCTACCACTAGAGCATCCCGTTGGGGAACAGGCCAGGAAAGGCCAGGGAGTAGGCCTTGGACACATGGAGGAAAGGCCTGGGGCAGGTGAGGAGGGGGATCCCACTCATCCAGTGATGCCAGGTGCCAGGTTCTGTGTGGTGCTTACATAAGCCGTGATGCCTACTCCTGGATCCAGCCTGGGAGGGAAGTACTGTTTCTTACTGCCATTTTCCCACATGCAGGTGTGGTGAGGTCAGGCTATGACGTGATAACTGGCTTTGCAGAAGTTCCATCATGTCAAGCTGTATCGTCATGCACATACAGTCACCTCTCACTTCAAGTTCACTCGCTCCCTAGTTCAATGGTGGCAAACCAACTCCGTTCTAAGATAGAAATGGAATTGCTTTCTCTTCGTTAGCAGCAACTTCCTGGCTCCCTAATTGGGCCCCATAATCTTCGCGGGGGAGGTGGTGAGGACTGGGGAAAAGACAAGGGTCTGAGGAGAGGGATGCTGCCCACTTACCCCCATGATTTTGGTGTTGCACTTGGCACACAGTGGGGCAAAGAACTGCTCGTAACACCGCTCGCAGTAGACATTGTTCTGCTCCTCCACAAAGCACACGTCAGCCAGCGAGGTCTTGCAGTAGGCACAGTTGAACTCTTCCGGGTGCCAGGAGCGGCCCATGGCTACCAGAAAGGGGCCCCTGGGGAAGCAGAGAACAGCACCTACTACAGCATCCCCAAAAGCTCGGGGCCAGATGTCTCAAGAACCTCAACAAGGCTCATTTTTTGACCCAATAATTCTGACTTTCATGACTTTTTTAAAGAAATAATGTGAAATTCAGATAAAGCTCCATGTAGAAAGGTGTTCACGGTTCACTTACAGTAAAGAGAAACTGGAAGCGACTCCAACCCCACCAGTAGGGGCTGGTTAAGTGTGTTATGGAATAACCATTCAGTTGGTACTGATAATTGTAACAACAGTGAGGCTGCTGCTGACAGCAAACTTGTATTAAGTGCTCAGTCTGTGCATAGAACTTTGCATTTCTTAATTTGTTTAATTCTCACGACAAACCTGTGAAGTAGTACTATTATCATATCATACCCATTTTCAGATAAGGAAACTGAGGCACAGAGAGGTCAAGTAACTTGTTCAAGGCAGTAGGGCTAGTAAGTGGTAGGCCCAGGATACAAACCCGGGTAATATAGTTCCAGATTAGCAGTAGTCAGAACAGTGGGACTACCAGGAAATTTTTCATATTCTAATTTCTACGTGGAGCCCTGGTGGCACAGTGGTTAAGAGCTCGGCTGCCAACCAAAAGGTCGGCAGTTCGAATCCACCATAAATTACTGTATTTATTACTAAGAATTTCTAATACTCTATAATGAGTATATTTGACTTTATTTTAAAATAAAAGTGTATTTTTCATATATACAAGTATACCACACACACACGTAAACATACTGTATTCAAACAACAGTCACCCATTATCCTGGCTTCCAAGCATGAAATGACTTGTTTTCATCTTGGTGAGGTGGATGGCCACCAAAACCCTAAGCAGCCTGTCTGTGGAAAGACCAGAAGCAACCCTAAAGGAAAGCTGGGTCAAAACCAGCACTGTCAGCCAGCTTGCAACATGCCCAGTAAACCTACTGACAAGACTGGCGAGTCCCAGAACCTGACCTTAGCCCAAGGGGAGAGCTCCTGGCACCAGGCACTGCTCTGGGAGCTTCACCCACGTACCTCATGGAATCCTCCCAACTCCCCGGGGAGGTGGATGTCACACAGGTGTGGAAGCTAAAGCTCAGAGAGGATCAGACCAGATGGTGATCCAAAGGACCTGAGGCTGCCCTGCAAGGTGCTTTCTCCCTACATCTGCCCCCCAACCCTACACACACCGCAGGGCTCAGACGGTAGGCAAGCACCCCAACCCCGCCCTTCCAGCACCCCAGCACAGAGGCACAGCTAGACCATACCGGATGATGCTGTTACAGTGGCTGCAATGTGGAGTCCGGCTGCTGGCTGGGAATCGCTCGGCTCTCTGGACGGTGCCCCTGGCAAGGGGGGATACCTGGGGTCCTGCTGGAGTGTACGATGGGGCCCCCCTGGGTAGGGGCTGCTTGCTGAGTGACGTGGTGCTCATCCCAGGGGCAAACTTCTGGGAGAAGCTGTTGTCTGTCACCCAGGGGGGGCGGCTGGTAGGCTCCGCAGGGCCCCCACCATAGGTGGCAGGGTTATAGCTTGGGGCAGGTGAGGGGGTGTAGGCTGGTGCCGGTGAGGGGGTGTAGGTGGGGGGAGATGAAGGGGTGTAGGCAGGAGCAGGCGAGGGGGTGTAGGGAGCTGGACTGTAATTTGCCCCTGGGGATGGGCTATAGGTAGACGCAGGCACTGCAAGCCAAAAGTACCCAAAGAAAAATGTGTCAGGAACTCATTCCCCTTCAACTTTCCCTCTCCCCAGCCAGAGAACTGCAAAAGGTGACTTCAGTATTAGAGAAGCACAATTCTAATTTTTACGGGCGACGCACTCCTGAACTTCTTGATGCCCCAGATTTTAATTCACAGCAGGGAGCAGGGACAGATTACCTAATAAGTAAGGTATGCACGGGCTTATTTCTGCTTATTTACTAATCTGCAGTGCACAATTTCACGCACTAAACACAATTAAGCCCCTGCTTACCAGTTAACCCACCCTTGGCAGGGAGCCAAGACAGATGAAGAGCAATCTGAGCAGAGCCCCTGGGAGGCTAGGTGTGGCTGGGACAGGGCTGTGGCTATAAACATCTGCAGCTGTACCAGGCAGGACTCAGAGACAGGGGTGAGAGTGGGGGTGCTGGGTGTGGCTCACATCTGGGTCCCTGGGCCGGGAAACGGTGGGTCGGGGTCAGCACAGCCTTGACTGGAGGATGCCTTCAGCTGCACTCCAACCAGTAATTTAACATCCGAAATGCCTCCCTCGGCATGCCCTTGCTGAGCCTGGACTTAGTCCAGCCTTGGGACAAAGCAGATGGCCGGCAGCTGGGGTTTCAGGTTTAGCTACAATCTTTTCATGAAAAACAGCTTAGCTTGATTTGTACTGGGAAGAAATTCTATCTTGGTTTGATTGGGGTGGGGGTCTTGAAGGAGACATTTAGAGATGCTGGGGAGAACTGTGCTCCCTGCATCACTTTGGTGGAAACTGATGTGACCCTAACATTCCCCAGCATGGTTTCTTCTTTTCAAAATGGGCGACTGAGAGCTTGACGTAACTAACGCCATGATAAACCTATAAGTTTTTTTTTCTTTGCCTTCTCCTTTTTGCATACCTTTGTTAATGACTTTGTTTTGCTCTGTCTGGCCACCTGTGGCTTATGACCCCCCACGGGAAGATTAGAGCCCAGATGTCAGATATGTATATCTTTAGCCTGATAAGGAAATGTCCAGCATGTATCTCTTTAGTATGATAAAGAGTCTCTTGTTTGAAACTTTGTAAAAATCATATGTAAGCGCTAATATAAAAATGCCTTTTGGGACTCCGTAGAGACAGCCTGCATTGATGTTGAATCCCTGGTGGCGGACACCTCCTACAATAAAACTTTCTTACTCTTTCTGACTTGGAGTATGTTTCATTGGCTCGACTGCTCCAGGGCACGGACCCTATTCGGGTAACACTGAGAGTGCGTCACAGTGCCTGTTTAGAGGTTGCCAAGGAAGTCGGAGGGTAGGAAGAGAATGTGGCCGCTCCACTGCTGGAACCCCCTCCTCCAGCTCACTGAGAGCTGAAAAACATTTTGGAGTAATGACATAGCAGGACCATTGCAGCTGCTCACCCAAGCTGCCCTCAAAACCCCAGGCTTCTGAATGCCCTGCCGTCTCCCGCTGTGGAGCCTGCAGGGGCAGACCCAGCTGTGTCCTGCACGCATGGTCCAGCTGGCCTCCTCTTCCAGTGAGGGAGGTTCCAGAAGCCTCATCTGGGCTCACAGTCTGCTCCTTTGGGAAGAGGCCTCATTCTCCCACCCTGGGAAGCATGTCGGGCCAGTCGCCCTTCTCATTCCCGAGCCTCACCTGGGCAGAATGAGGTGTGCTGAGGCAGCCCCCTTGTGGGCCCCAGCCCTAGCCCCAGCCTCTGGTCTCTCCTTCCCACCTGGCTCCCCTGGGCCACCTTGGGTGGTCTGTGGTCTACTGCTCCAGCTCTGTACCTCTACTCCCAGGACAACTGGCTCTTCAGAGCTGGATAACATGGAAACCCCTGTGCTGGGAATGGTAGGTACCAGGCCTGTGTTACTGAAGTGTGAATGGGGTAGAAGCCTCCACAGCCCTGCCCCAGAGCCATCCTCGAAATACTGTTGGCGTACAAAGGTAAAACCCACCTCCATAAGGTATATTAGGCACCCAACAGATTAGCTGGGTTAGTCCTCACTAGGATGTCTCCTAACTAGGATTTTCATTTGCCCCTAATGTCCTGTAATACTTCACCTCCAGGAACTGTCACTGATATCAAGTGGCTCTGCAGAAAAGAAAATGAGATGACAGTATTTAATTGAGAAGTAGCCAATTTTTCACTTTATTTAAAAAGTAATGGATAAATGTGATATTCTTAAGGTCTTGAGGAATGGTGACCACATTCCTGGTTTTTTGTCTAAATGAATCTGTTGGACGATAACTATGGTGTGTTTGGAAAATTACTGGTGTCACTCTTTGCCTATACAGTAGAAGAATAATGCTTTTTGAAAATAAACTTGAGCAAAGCAAGGCCAGGGACTACACTGTGAATCAGAATTTCGCAGTGTTTCTGTGAAGAGTCCTCACACCATCCCCTATACAGATGAGGTCACCGAGGCTTAGACAGAGCCAGTAAGTGGCAGAGTGAATCTACAAAGCTACTCTTTCTATCACCCCAAGCTGCTTCTGTAAGGAACACAATTCTAATTTTCTGAAAGTCTCAGTGTCCACAGATGTACCGTTTCCTCACTGTCATCAAGGAATGACTTTCAACACAGAGCAGACCCCACACTCTGGCATGTAGCACAGCCATCGAGAGCTCTGGGTTCAGGTTCCAGCTCTACAATCTAGCTGTGTGTCATTGGGCCATTCCTTAACATCTCTGAGCCTCTGTTGCCTCATCTAAAAGTGGTGATAATTCTTAGTACCTCAAAGGGTTATTATGAGGATTAAGGAATAGAAGAAATATAAAGTACCCTAGTACTTTATCCCTAGTGCCCAGCACAGTGTGAATGCCACTGAATGTTAGTGAGGATGCTTAGAGTTGTGACTCTTGGGTCTCAGGGTAATGAAGTGTCAGCTCATCTTATGGCCTGGTGGTCACATGGGGGAGCCCAGTCCAGGGTGACTATGGGATGTGGGGCTAGGGGTGGGAGATGTGACACCTTGAAGTCTGATAACCTGGGACTCCAGGTGGAACGCAGGACACCCTGTCCACCTCATAGGAAGTGGTGAGGGCCTACCAGAGGGACACAGTGCAAGCATTTGGAAATTTGTGAAGCCCAAATTCAAGGTGTCATCACTCTCCCTAACAACCTTGCGTAGCTCCCAAATGCCTAGAGAGGGTCTCAAAATGCTGGGGGAGGGGTGACGCGGGGATGCCACCAGGCAGGGGTTGTGGCGAGAGATGATCTAGCAGAACTTCAGAGCAGCTTCATCCCTCTCTGAATATATATTGGGATTCTGCGGAAGATTTTGTTTCCTTTTGTAAAATGGGCTTCTTGGCTAAAAGGGATTAAGAACAAGAGGCCTAATCCCGTGCTGTCCAATACAGTAGCTCTATGTGGCTGTTGAGCACTTGATATGTAGCTAGTCTGAAATGAGGAGTGCTATAAGTGTAAAGGAAACCCTGGTGGTGTAGTGGTTAAGAGCTATGGCTGCTAACCAAAAGGTCGGCAGTTCAAATCCACCAGGCGCTCCTTGGAAACCCTATGGGGCAGTTCTACTCTGCCCTATAGAGTCGCTATGAGTCGGAATCGACTCGATGGCAATGGGTTAGGTTAGGTTATATGTGTAAAATACACACTGGATTTTAAAGATTTAGTACAACAATGTAAAATATCTCAACAATTATGTTACACTGATTATATGTTGAAATGATATTCTGGCTATCATTTAACTGGCTACTAACTGGGTTAAATAAAATGTTACTAAAATAAATTTCACCTGCCATCATTTTACATTTACAAAAATTGTTCTATTTATTTCTATTGGGTATGCTACCCTAACCAGAGGAGCCCTGGTGGTACATGGTTAAAGTGCTCAGTGCTAACCAAAAGGTTGGTGGTTCGAACCCTCTAGCCACTTTATGGGAGAAAGATGTGGCAGTCTGCTGCACCCTTAAAGACTGACAGCCTTGGAAACCCTATGGGGCAGTCGGAATCCACTGGATGGCAATGGGTTTTATGGGCCCTAACCAGACAATGGCTACCATGTATAGACTGCTTCCTCTCTGCAAGCCAGGTTCTTTATGTGCGGTGTTTCGTGTAATACTCCATGCAACCCGATGAGGCAGATGATATTTTCATGTCCATTTTACATATGAGGAATTGAGGCTCAGAGAGCTTAAATGCCTACCTCAAAATCATCCAGCTCATGAACTGCCCCGCTGACTTTACTGAAACTCCAGATGCCCTGGATAACCACTCCGCAGGCTGCTAAACAGGCTAATTTAGCACGCCCCATCCAAATCAGGCCCATGCCCACCTTTTCTGCCCCCTCCAACAAATATCCATCCACTCGGTGGCAACGGGTTTGGTTTTTTTATTCCCTCTGCCCGGTGTCATTCTTTTCCCTTCTCCATAAGGCCTTTCGGACTCCCTGACCCATCCCATTTCTCTAAGGCCCCACAACCCCAACGCCACAGAGCAGGTCAGAGGCAGAGGCAGGACGGAATCTGGACCCTGGCTTGGCTGTTTTCTTGCCATGAGCTGCATTCAACCAGAGCTAGAGGCCTTCCCTTCCTCCCCGGCAGCTCCTGTCCCCCACTCCTACGCGGGCGGTGGGCAGGGAGCAGCTGCTTCACGGTCGCCTCCCTTCTGGGCCCCTAGGCCCAGCTCGCCGCCACCCTCGACCTATCAGGAGAGAGACTAGATATCCCATCTCCGAGCCCGGGGCTGTTGCTATTTCTGCTTGACTGAATTCAGCCTGTTCAAATTAGAAGGTGATATTTCATCTCTAATTGGCAAGTTCAAAAGGCCCCTATCGCACACGGCAGCCTCGGGAATGTGTAATTAAACAAGGTGGTTCCTGACTCATTCCAGGTCGGGCCCAGTCTGCGCGAGCGCCGCGGACCCCGCCCGGCCCGCGGGCCGACGTGGCCGCCCTGCGCGCAGAGCCCTTTCCGCCCACGGCGAGGCCCGGTCCGCGCCGCCGCCTGCACCCTCCCGAGCCCCAGGTGTTCTGGGGAGCTGCCGGCCCGGCCCCGGCGCCAGCGATAAGATCCTGGCTGCGAACGGAGTAGGCCCCGCGGGGAGCTGCAGCGGGGGCCGGCCCAGGCCGCGGGCTCCTCGCTTTGCAGGCCCGGGTCGGGGGAGCCCAGGGAAGGGCGGGAGGGAAGAGGGGAGGCTCAGGCCGGCATTCCCTGCTTCTCCCTGGGCCGGCGGCCAGTCGCCCCCGACTCCCCCGCGGAGAGGGAGGGGGAGGCAAGCCCGTCTCTGGCGCGCCAGCCCGCCTCCTTCCGTCCAGGCAGGAATGAGTTAACGTCTGGCTGGCCTGGGAACCCAGCGGAGACAGCAGCCCCGGGTCTCCCCTCACGTCCGCTCCGCTCGGGCCCCAGCCGGGGAGGAAGACAGGCTGGGCAGGCCGCGTGAACCCCGGGGCGGCGCCTTCCCCTGGTGGTCCGGCGGAGGAGAGTTGGCGGCCGGGCGGGGGCGTCTGGGACTCCGGGCCCGCCCCGGAAGGTGCCAAGTAGGGCCGGCCAGGAAGGGGAGCCCAGACAGCACCAGAAAGGGACTGCCCTCCCTGCGCCCACCTGCCGCTTCCCATCCATGCACACTCCTCTCTGCCTCCCTCCTGTGTTCCTCATCTCAGCAGTGGCACGCCATGTCCGCCGGCTTGCAAACCAAAAACCAGAGCTCCATCTGAGAGTTTTCGCCATTGCTGCCCCTTCCAAAATGCTACCCAATCCTGTAGATTTTTAAGCTCGGAAATTTCTGTCCAATACCTTCTTGCCTCTGGAGGGGCAGAGAAGAGTACCTTGTGTGTGCCCGGCACCGTGCTAGGAGCTTCCTTTAATCCTGAGAATACGAGGTGTACACAGTATCACCCCCATTTTTCATACTCAGGCCCAGAGAGATGAAGTACTTTGCCTCAGATGGCACAGGAGTCTGATGCTAAAGCTGATTCTAGCACCCACACTCAGCATGCCATCAGAATGGGCTTCCAAAGCACAAGGCTGATGGGGCTCCTCAACCCCACACATAAAAGTCCAAGCTCCCCCAAGCCAAGCCCTTCCTGTCTCATTTCCAGTGTCTCTTGAGTCTAGACTTTGCATGTGCTGTTGCTCCCCCCTCCCCCGCCCCGCCATGGCTGCTTGGCAAACTCCTACTCTCTTGCATGATGACATAGTGAAGCCTCCTCCCATAGAATTAGCTACCTATTCTTTCCCAAACAAGTCATCAACTCCCTCACATTATCAGTTTTACCACATGTAAAAATGGTATCTATGTAATATTTTTTTTGAGGGGGAAAGAAAAGTCTATCACTACCGCAAATGGAAAATCATTATTGCTTTCCAGAAATTCAAGATGTCTGTAAAAATGTTGAAAGTATAATGCTTCAAATGAAAAGTGTGCACCCACCGAAAATCCTCTCTCACCCATTCGTGGCTAGGGCACCAGGACACCACTCTGGAGACCCCTGTGATCTCTGGTCACAGAGCATGCAGCTCACAGCACACGGCCTCTCTCCTCCACTCACCCCAACTTCACCAGCACTCACTCATCCCTTTGTTCCTTCAGTCCCCATGCCTTGGCTGAGCATCTCCTCTGTGCCAGAACTGAGTCAGGTGCTGGGATACAATGGACAAAGCCACCCCAGCCTGCCCTCCTGGGGTTCAGAGTCAGAGTCCGGTGGGAAGGACGGGATGTTGGTATCAGCCATCAGGGCCTGGATGCCGGCAGCCCTCCTGTGGGCACGTGCTATAGACCAGGGCACACACGACATTCCCCCAGCCTGGGCTTGACCCTGGTTCCCTGGGAAAATAACCTATTAACGGCCTTTTGTTTCCTTGAGCAGCGGCAGCCAGGGGTGGGTGGGGTGAAGGCCAGCCTGAGCGCTGCCCTGCAGCTCTGCGGAGCAGGCCTAACTTTGCCTAGGAAAGAGGGGGACATGGAGCTGATCGCTGGTCCCTGGGAGGTGGCCTGGGCAGTGAGAGTGGGGACTGGAGTGATGGAACAGACAAAGAGTGAGTCTGCCTGGTGACCCCGTGGCAGCTGCTTGGCTGCCTCATCACATGTCTCCATGCCTCCCAGCATCCTCTGCTTCAGCTGAGGAAACTGAAGACAAGACGGGCTAGCAGCCTGCCCAGGATCACACTGAGAATGCTGTCAAAAAAAAAAACCAAACCCGTTGCCGTTGAGTCGATTCTGACTCATAGCGACCCTACAGGACAGAGTAGAACTGCCGCATAGGGTTTCCAAGGAGCGGACGATGGATCTGAACTGCCGACCTTTGGTTAACAGCACGGCTGCTAACCACTGCACCAGGAGGGCTCCTAAAACGCATGGGATTTTCATTATAGCTGCCTGTCTTGAACCAGAACCTAGACCCACATGGAGAAACAAGCTTCTCCCCTCTAAACTCACTCCTCCCTGGCCTTGAGCCTGGAAATGCCAAGCCAGGAATGCCCTCTTCCTTGGAGCGAGGAGGCTCCATCCCTGCCTGGCTCTCCCACCTGCCTCCCCAAGGCCAGATGTGGGCTCCACAGGATTCTGGCCCCTAATTTGGACACGGGGGGCTGAGCCTCACTAGCAGGACCTTGCAAACCACCGTCCTTCTGGGGATGTAGCCTTGAAGCTGCCACCTTGGTCTTCCAACTCCTGGAGCCCATACCTAGCCCAGACTACCCCCTCTCGCTCTGGTCTCTCACCTGGCTGATAGACAGAAGGCCGGATACTGGCTGTGGTCACAACCCGGGGCTTGGGTGCAGGGGCAGCCGGGGCCTCAGTGTAGCTGGTGTGGGCAGCAAGTGCTGGAAAGGTGGCTACTGCAGGGCTGTAGGCAGAAGCCTGGGGCCTGGAACCAAGGGGTAAGAGTTAGAAGCCAGAAAGATAGCCCTACCCCGGCCCAGGGCCAGCAGCCATGGAGGCTCACTGGCTCCCCCACCTTCAGAAGCCTCTGTGAGGACTGCCAGAGGAAAGTCCTCAGGGGTCTTAGGCGGCAGGAAGCTACTCCCTGGAGGCTGTGAATCTAGGTTAGAGCAGCAGAGACCCCTCCAGAAATACAGCCTGTTGCTGATGCCACCGCCTTAGGAGAGAGGGGAGAAGCTTCAGCCAGACAGGGGGCTTGGAGACAACCCTTACCCCAACCCTCACTGGGGGAAAGAACCCCAGCATAGGCTGGACTGGGAAGTGCAGAGGCAGGAGAGAGGTCAGAGCTACCTGCCTGCCTCCTCACCTCACAAGCAGCTCACAGCCTGGGAAGACCTGGTCTCCTCCCCATTCTGCTTTTGCTGGAGAGGGCCGCGAAGTCTCAGGTTTCTGAGCAGGAGTGCTCCAAGGAGGGCTCATGGGAAGCCGCCACCCACAGTCCCCTCTCCACATGCACACTTCTCTTCCATGTAGAAGCCCAGTTGCCCTTCTCCCATTGCGCTGCCTTCGAAGAGGCCTAGAGCGGCCTTTTCCCAAGTAGGAACCACAGGATCAAAGACGGGGAGAAAAAGTGTTCCCAGTTCACTGGCCCCTGGAAATACTGTTTTCAGCCTCTCCTCTTGGGAAGTCATACGAACTCCTGGAGTTTAGTATCTTGTCTGATCCAATGTTTCCCAATTTCAATTTCCCATGAAACCCTTCATTTAAAAACTGATGGCCACCTTAGAGAACATGGCCCTGGTCCCTGCATCCCCTGCATCTTCCAGGTCCCAGTGGGGCCCACACGACCCTGCCCAGGTCAAATGAGTCATTTCAGGAAGTGCTGGAGAAGTGAGCGCCTGAAAATATACCCCCATCCCCCACCAGCCCATGGCTGTCTGCTTGCTTTCCACCTGTTCCCCATGGGCCCAGGCCCTGCCCATCCCAAGCCCTGCTGGGAAGAGGTGTGAGATGAGGGAGTGCTTTCCTGTCTGGGACTCTGGGAGGGTGGTGACCCTGGGCTAAGAACCCGCCACCAAGCTTCTGAGAAGACCCAGAGGGGCCTGTGTGCTGCCCCCAGCCCAGCGCCCCAGATCTTGGTGGGTATGCAGACCTGCTCTCACGTTGTCTCCTCTCCCGGGGCTCGCTGCCAAGGCTCCCTCTCTACTCTGGGAGAACCCCTGAGCTGATGTGAGAGGAGGAGAGGCCTCCAAGGAAGAGAAAGAGATGGTGTTCAAGGGGACCTGCAGTCCCTAGCTTCCACTGTGTTGGGAGGAGGCCAAGGGTCGTTGAGCTTCATCCAAACCCTCCCCCAGTGGAGGATGCTTTGCAGCATCCCAGCATCCCAGCATCCCAGGAGTTACGGTCCAGTGTTAGGGATTGGTGTTGGAGCAGGAGCAGAGGCTGAAGACATCCAGTGAGAATTCTGAGGCCATGTGCTCCAAAGAAAGGCTGGGTCTCAGTCAGCCTCCCACTGGCCCCTCTGGCTCAGTCCCAGCCCATGCGCAAGGACGGGAGGTAGCTGGGCCCAGAGTATGATCCGATGAACCCTCTGCTCCAGCCTGTTGCCCCATGGGCAGCCCTCCAGGCCCCCCTCCAAGTCCCTCCCAGGCCCAGCTCTCTTGCCAAGGCAAAGGAAGTCCTGAGGCTCCGGGAGCTCTGTGGTGGGCCCCAAGTCACAGAGGCCTGGGGCATGGGCCCCCAGGGATGAGGCTAGACTGCCTCACTCCACCATAGGGACACTCCAGGGCCCCGGGTAACCTGGGAGAGATCTGTAGGTCCATTTCTTACCCACCTCAGAGTTTCTTCTTCGTGCAGATAGCATGGCCCTTATGTGAAGAACTTCTGGTGTGGAAAGGGTAAGCAGCTGGCTAAGTGCCCCCAGGAAGTGGGATTAAACAATCCCAGAGGCCCAGGGCCAGGCTCACCCCTGAGGCTGGAGTAGGGCTAGGAAAATGCTGGGTTTGGCACCAAGTGGGCTACTATGAAGCCCGGGGTGAAGGGCAGCAGCCAGGCCAACTGGCCAGCGTGCCCACCCTCAGTCCCACCTCAGGCTGCACCACGGACCTGCATGCCCTGACGCAGAGACTGGTGTCCTCCCCAGCAGAACCCCTCACAGGAAGCCAGGGTCTGACCCCAAACACCCACATGACAGTTTCACAATGCCCAGAAAGAGAGCTGGCCCTCCTGGCCTGTTCAGCTACCTGGCAGCTCTGGAACGACCTGTCTGGACTGCCTCTATCCCTCTTCACTCCTCACTGTACCTCCCTCCTCTCTCCTTCCTCCTCTCCGCTTTGGGCTCTGCCTGGCTGGGAATAACTGGAAATACTGGTGACCATTTAAGGGGCACGGCTATGTGCTGGGTGTTTTAGGGACATTTGTTTCTGCTACAACCCTGTAAGATTGGTGTTGTGTTAAACATCTTAACAGTTGAGGAAACTGAGGCTCAGAGAGGTGAAGTCACTTTCTCAAGGTTACCGCTAGTAAGTGGCAGGGCAGAGATTTAAATCCCACTATACCAGGTGCCTCCTGAGTCATCATCAAGCGAGGCCTGATGGAGAAGAGAGGGTAGGGGAGGAGGGCAAGTTAATGGCTAAGCTCTACCTGACCTACTCTGAACTGCCTTCTGTGGTAGCCGGATGCCCCTCCTCCACGCAGCCTCTCTGGATTTCCCCAGCTCACAGGGATGACTTTCATTCTCCCAAATCTGACTTTCGGGAACAATGACTTCCCACAAAGAGCACTACCCATTGAAAACACTAGCTTCTTCTGCTATCTACTCTGTATGTGTGTGGCTCTTCTTTCTCGAGGGTGGGGAAACACCCATCCCTGCTTCTGTCCTCAGCCACAGGTGGTACACTCTCCTGAAAGCCTCCCCAGCTTCCCCTCACAGTCAGCACCTCGCGGTGCTGGGCTTGGCCTCCTTGTGCCCCAGGGCCTGAACCACAGAGCACAGCTGCTGACAGGTGGACTCAGGGCGGGCCTTTCTTGCCTGTCTTCCCTGTGGTTAGGACCGGTTACCTTGGGCTGTCCGCAGGGCTGGAGGCACAGGCTGTGGCGGAGGCGGTGGCAGCATTGGCAGCGGCTGTGGCCAGGGGAGGCAAGGCTGTGCTGGGAGAGGCAGCAGTGGGCGACTGAGCAGAAGCGGGCAGCAGCAGGGTGGTGGCATGGCTGGTGCACACTGGAGCATGCTCAATAGGGGTGCTGACGAGGCGGACCAAAAAGAGAACAGGTCAGGGGGGCACTGAGACCCCGTGGCAGAGGCAGGCTGGGTGGAAGGACCATGGGTACTGCAAACAGAACAAGAGCCTCGAGAGAGTGTGTCCTGCAGGCAGAAGGACCCTTTCCAGTGGAGCCGGGCCCTGACAGGCTCAGGGAAGGAGGCCCTTCAAGGACCCGGGAGGGCAGGCCTGAGACCAGAGTGAGGGGTGGGGTTCTTGAGAGGTATCATGTGCACAGAAACTGTCTCAATCCTGGAGGGATTCCTTGCCCCTCAATTTTCTGTATTTCCTATTTTTTCATTCATCAGCATGTGTTATAAAAGCACAGTACGGTGGAATAACAGTGAATTATCAACCCGGGCTCTTCTCCCACACTGCTTTCCTCTCCCTTTCGCCCTTCCCCACTTAGTCAGGGGCCTACGCTGTCTCCAGGAAGAGATGAGACAGCAAGCAAGGCAGAGGTCAGATACTCGAGTGTTAAGGGCTTAGGCTCTGGGGGGATAAGAAGGGCTCAGGACACAGATAACACACTTGGAGGACAGATGAAGGCGACCTCACGCCAGACAGATAAAAGGTTATCTGGCCCAGGAAGGTTCCATGTGGTGTGGGGGATTGGAGTATAAAGGCGTTTGTTCCTCTCCTGTGAAATCCCTGGGGAAGCAGCAGGACCTGAGGGTGCTCCATGCCCATGGGGCAAGAGACCCGAGGCAGACCCCAGGCCACTGTGTGCCTGGGAGCTCCAGACAGTTTCTTGGATGTGGCCCTGAGTGCCTGCAGATCTGAAAGGCCTGTAATTGGAAACAAGGGCGGTGATCACTCTGCCAGTGTGGACCCGTGTGACCAGACACGATGAGGATATTCCAGCAGATGCCAGTGCAGGTAGACTGTGACCGAGGACCGGGGCCCCCACTCCCCACTCTGAATGCCTTGGCATTCTGTAAGCTCCTCTCCCCAGAGTGCTACAGAGATGAAAAGAGCAGTCAGAGCCTGGGCTGATTGGAATCAAGTTTCTATCACCTGAAAAATGGAGCAGGGAGTCAAAATCATAGAAAAGCAAAGAGATGCACATTCTTTGCTCATTTGGGTTTGTGGACTAAGATCTGCATGGTAAACCCATGTGTATCAGAGTAGAATTGTGTTCCATAGGGTTTTCAATGGCTGATTTTTTGAACTAGATTACCAGGCCTTTCTTCTGAGGCACCTCTGGTGGAACTCAAACCTCAAACCTTTTGGTTAGCAGCCAAGTACATTAAACACTTGTTCCACCCAAGGACTCCCTTTTTTCCTATACTAACTATTTAATTCACATGTCTGTCAGTTTGTAGTACTGTGGGGCTTGCATGTTGCTGTGATACTGTAAGCTTTGTCACCGGTATTTCAAATACCAGCAGTGTCACCCTTGGTGAACAGGTTTCAGCAGAGCTTCTAGACTAAGACAGACTAGGAAGAAGGACCTGGCAGTCTACTTCTGAAAAAATTGGCCAGTGAAAACCTTATGAATAGCAGCAGAACATTGCTTGATATTGTGTCCAAAGATGAGCCCCTCAGGTTGGAAGACACTGAAAACATGACTGGGGAAGATGTGCCTTCTCAAAGTAGAGCAGACCTTAATGACGTGGATGGAGTCAAGTTTTCGGGACCTTCATTTGCTGATGCGGCACAACTCAAAATGAGAAGAAACAGCTGCAAATATCCATTAATAATTGGAACGTGGAATGTACAAAGT